AAATAAATTAATTATTAATAAAACAAAAATATTCAAGTTCCAATTAAATTCTTTATCAATAGACTGTTGAGGCAAAACCGTCGCCATTTTAAAATTATAAATGTTTTGCGAGTTATGTTTCCATACTTCCGTGTTAGTACTTAGTAGGTACGCTATCCATAACATAGGTTGTAAATAAAACATAGGTTTAACAATGACAAAAAATAGTAACATCACCTCACAACGCCAGTAGTTATACATTCCAGAGCGGTCTATTTAGCTTTAGACAATAGACTCGCTTTGTGTCTCGTATTGTCCGATTACACGGAGGATAAAACCCTCGCGTGCGATTGACATGCAACTTGTACACAAGTGTTGAAGAGAAATGATTTGATTGTACGTTAGCTTAAGATTACGACGACTGAGAAACGGAATTAAAAGATTTTATCGCTAATAAACGTGTTCAAACGTTTATATTAAAATTATCGTAATTACAACTCACGAGAGAAGAGGTGAAAATTAAATTATTATGTACGTAATATTTTACTATCAGCTACGATGGTATACATCGTAAAAATTTGCAAACTTTCTCGTTAACAGCAATAAAAGAAACTATTTCATACATTTAATAGCGACTTTATAATGATGACTGTACACGATATTGCAAGTTAGGAATCATTATAAACAGCTTAAAGACTCGTAATAATCATGACACATCTTTGTAATCGTCGAAATCGATGATCATATTAAAATTCGGAACGCGTGAGGTCATCGAACCGACGAACATCAAAAATTACGTTCAAAATTTATGGAGCGTCAAGATTTGAAGCAATTAAGAATTTTAAGAGCATGTGCATCACGGATGGCTGGACGGAGTTTTTATCTAAATTTTTGTCTATCGTGTTCATCTTGATATAAAAATATAACGGTATCGAGTACAAATAACAAGCAAGTGTAAATTATAAATGTAACTATATATTCGGTGGTCGTAATACGCATTGCGTATATAATTTAGCCATCTAACATGGCGGCTCCCCCTCATTATCGATCCGCGACACAGACGCTTCGTTCCTGGTTGACATTGGGAGTACACATCCCGCCCTATCTCAATGTCATCTAGCTTTTGTACGGAAAATGTTTCAGAAAATACGATCTAAATGTACAATAACGGTTCAATGGAATACATATGTACTGTTATATCCAATTGTTGCCAGAAATAAATAATATTTTAAATTATGGAATATATTTATGTACTTATTATTATTATAAAATGCATCCGATATAATATCTTGGTTATTAAATGCAAGATTACTCCAAATGTAACGTTAGCTGGAAGTGTAATTAAAACATGAATTTCAACAATGAAGCGTGCTGATTCAAAGCCGTAGTCCGCAGACAACCCCTAAGGCTCGGACGAGGGCTATTGATTCGCGTATTCGGGAACTTTTTTACATCCCTCTCACGCAAATAGCACCCACACCGCCCGTCTCTGAGTCACCCTCCACACAATTTCATTACCGATAACATTTACAGTGAGCTTCACGCTAATTAGGACGAATATTCCTTTTAAGAATCAAAACAGGAAAATCTATTAATCGTCATTTGAAAGTAAACTTATTATTAATTTGTCACCGGCGATGCTCAATAAGTGTTGCCATTATTTATCTGATGTTTGTTTATGAATAAAAAACATCACGCGGCCGGTAGTAACGCGATCACGATCAATTAAATTACCAATTATAAATTTTAGTGATCGACCGCCGCCATGACGCGTGAAAGCGGCGAAAGTCGACATTACATATAGAGTATAGAGTACGGACCGGTTTAAAAACTTTTGTATGTAATTGTTCTTTTGTGTTGTTTTATGTCAACGGCACATGTGCTACATACAGCCGAATTATTAATTTCGGTTTTATAATTTGTTACATGTAGGTAGTTATGACGAAGTGTTTATATTCAACGTAATGATAGTAATTAAAGTTAATAGTGTACGTGAAGGGCTCCGTTGTTCCAATATGAAGTTAAATCTTAAACGGTCGATGTCAAACATGTGCTGGATGTTACTCAGACTTCTAAAAATAACTAAACATAGTGATTGGAGTTCGTTAGCATCGGCACCCGCGTCCTTTTCAAGGACCGAGAAATTGTTGTTTGAAATACAGAATCCAATCTTTAGATGAAATGTTTTAATAAATACTAGAGATTTAAGAGTTGAACGACACCTACGCCGACTAATTGTATTTATTAGCATAAATTGAGTGATGGGTAGCGAACCACGACGATACTGTTAGTTTTTTAAATTTAATGATTTATTTTTTATATATTTTTTCCAACAAATAAAAATATATTAATCTCATAACTCCCCCATCTTTATTTAGGCACAGAGTCACCCTTTTTCCATTCGTCGTGTTCAACAGAAGGGGAGAGAATTTGACAAAATATATGCGCATTAACGAATGTGGGTAGGTACTAGGTAGTGCAAGTCGAGATACATAGAACCGTTTTAATATGGTCTGCTGTCTGATGACTTTATCGGAATCGAGTCCACCTTCGATGAACGAAGTCACGGCCGAGCTGCGATTTAAATAATATAATACCGGCATCATGAGTGCACTCAGGAGAATGAAATAACACGTCGAAAGCAGATGGTGGGACGGACGATGAAGTCATACAACCGCTCCCCGTCCGCGAAACAATTCCGTTATGTAGGAAAACAAACCGGCGGAAATTATACTTTAACATTAAATTTATCCTGAATTACCTTACAACTACATCTACTATTGTAATATATGAGAGGCGTTGTAACTGTATTTTTTGCGGCGTCTTCACCTTCCTATATAACGGACACGGAAAGAAAATATAATAAACAAACTTCTCCGAATCGTTTGTGGAACGATTACTTTGATAGTATATTACAAATCGACTTACCTAGATTAGTTTATATAGGAAGATATAAATTCACACGTTCACAGTCTTCGACCGGCGAAATGTCTGGAGTTAGGAGATGATGCGGTCCGTAGCCTGTGAGTGTTGTTCACGAATTGTGCTGTGACGGCGAGTGTCGACCGGCTTGCAGTCCGCAGTAGGGGCGGCGGGGGTGGACGGCGCGGGAGGGGCCAGCGGGGATACGATACATGCAGACGGCTTTGTTGACTATCACCAAGCTGATATACTCTTTATTACTCACAAATTAGAGTTGTTTGAAATTTCCCTATTGTCTTAAATCGCCTTCCGTACTCGACTACCTTTGTATTGACGCAGATGATTCATTCATATTCGATAACGTATTGAAAGTACTTGTGACAATATTATAATACAAATGTTTGTATAATTATAATCACTTTAAGTATCTACTCAACTAAACTAGAAAAGCCTGTAGCATATCGAATTAAAGCTTCTCAAATGACAATCAATAACTCTTATTAAATAATACTGTTATCAATTCTTCAGAGTACATTAAATAAACAAAAGACATATAAACAAAACATATAAATGGAACGTAATTAATAATCGTCTTTTGATAAAGTGCATGCGTCACATGAATTTTTAAGTACAAACAAGGAGCTGATTCACGCGGTGTGGCTAATGCCGATGTCCCATACAGGTCGTTGAGACACACTTTAAAATATATTTTCTCTTTTATGAACATTATATTTAAAAATTTTAAGAGGGATTTGTTGTATATTTTAATTTTTTTTCTAACAAGTTTATTCAGCCATTTGCTATTTACTGCTAACGTGAAAATGAGAAAATAACTGTCAATAACAAATTACCATACGTAAAAATAATTAACTGTTCTAAATAAAATGGCAGTCGCCATAAATAAAAGGCTGGCGCGTATCACTTATCTCAAGCAATAAATAATTTTAATTGTCTTAGTTCTTGAAGCATCCGTAAGCGGTAAGCGGGCTTACTGTACGCTCAGCAACTGTCAGAAGACGTACATGTTAGATGCTGAGTCACTTCAAACGGTTTACAATAAGCGGGTTAACTTTATATATTACTATTCTATTAGCTTTTCTGTAATTCTTGTATTAACAGACAAGTAGGTTCCATAATAGACTACAGTTATTAATTATTATTATTTCCTCAGTGTATTGAAATCTGAGAATATGTATCTTAATTAAAAAAATAATTACAAAAGTAATAAAGCTTTAGTAGACATTAAATTTGGTTTTAATGTTGGGCTCATTAATAATATTAATTAGGCATTAATAATTTTAAATTAAAAGGCAGACCCTGGCTAAAGCTGGGAAATTGTCAGGAAGAATATTAAATTAAAAATAACTGACAATTTATAAATCATAGTGACATTGTTTCTATATGATAGGAGGGTGGTGAAATAAAAATCGTATTCCCTGAAAGAAAATTGTTTATTTATCTTTTTCTAAATCATTTTATTTTTCCTTTTCATCATCTTTATTATTCGTATATATTTTTTGTTATACTTTATAAGTTACATAAAGTCGAATGTTACAGAGAGAACTACACCGACACATTAAATATCGAGATCCGCATCCGCTTTACAATTCTACGATAGAGTAAAATAAAGAAAATATACATGAGGGTGGGAGTAACGGTGACGCTCGAACAGGATCACTATGTTTCTTAACTTCTAAACTATATAATTCCCGGCAGAGTCAGTCCAACATAACAACAGCGAGTGTAACCTTCGCCAGTACCGCGCTCGATCCTAACCTACGTATCGTATCTTAAACAACAAATATATTACTCTCTTTTCGGTGGAAAAATCTTATATAAAAAATTATTTACACTAACATTATAACAAATTCTGACACGCCTAATGTAGGCTCCGTCCACACAGCCCGGTCATCTATATATTACAAACCAATATTTAATCATCACGGATCGTTTCGTTTAATTCGTTTTTGTCGACAATTTAAAAACTAACGCTCCGACTATAATTTGAAGAATATTCTAATATAGCGTAATAATTGCACATACGGTGACGTCACCGACGTGACGCCTGGTGGCAGGTGGTGGGGGGAGGAGGGGTTTGGTCACATGACCACGGCTCTTAGGACGTTGTTGACCTTACAGTTACAGACGGGGCAGCGCCTGACCGAGCTCCACACTTTCAGAGCACACTTGTAACAGCAGCAGATGTGAGCGATCCGGCCGTGCACGAAAACTCCGGACTTGGGCTCGGAGCAGCACATGATGCATAGTTCCGAGGGCGCTTGCTCCAGCGTCACGGCCGGATCGCTCATGGCCTTCACCAGTGGCTGGACCTCCCCCTCCTCCTCCTCCACCCTCCTCCTCTTGGCCTCGGGCTCCACCTCCGAGTCCGACCTGACTCTATCCCTGTCATCACTATTGATATTTAACGTGTCAGTGTTAGTTAGTTGCGAGGGTTGCAGCTCCTGGCTGAGCGTAGAGGCGACCCCCGAGTCCGGTGATAGGGGTTGCGACCCCTGAACCGCACGTTTATCGGATTTCTTTCTGTTTCGACGTTTCGGTCTCGGCGGGAACAAGTTTTTACGTACCTAGAATTCGGGTCACACTATTATTACAAGTTATTATGCAGTCTTAATGTATTCATACAATAGATACTTTTATTGACATACATGTACATATTATAAGAAATATAAAATAAATTTCATATTGAATATAATAATAAAATAAGAAGGATCTTACAGTAAAGTTAATAGATATATGTCAATATAATTAGTGTATCACCCATCATATAAAGAAATTATTGACTACCTCCAAAAAGATTAGAATCAGTCAGTTATACATAAAACAAAGATAAGTAACATAGGATATATATAGTTTATAATATATAGGTATAGTGTTATAATAGAAAAAATACTGAATAATTTAACAGTAGCCATCTACCAGTGAGCCGTGTACGAGTGGCTCAGCTGACAGATTCATTGGTGTCTCTGTATTTAAATGTATGAACACTACAAGAGATTATGAAGAATAACAAACAAAACAAAATTGATGGACTAATATCATAATACACTGGTGTGTCTGTACATACAGATACAATGTATCACTCCATATAATTATCATTATTTCATTATATTTACAAGAAACATACAAAAATAATTATCTTAATTAGAGATCAATATATAGATTCAACTGGAGGCAACTATAGTTAAGAAATATATTATTTTTAATGAGAAAAATATGTTTGATGTAGCAGTAAATTTTCAAAACTGTAATCAGTTCACTTATGGTTTGTTCCTAACATTACAACTGTCACTTACATAGTAAATATTAGTAAATATCACTAATAGTCTGAGAGCCATCTTTAAACACATACAATAGTTTTCTTTCCATTCATATAATTCAGTCACAACTCACCAGCTTACATCTAAACCTAAACAAGCTGACTAATAATTAAAATATCATGTCTATTATAATAATTATTTTTTTTATAATTCCTTTGTGTTATTCAACATGTTTATTTTATGATAATATTATATTTCAAAGTCCTTTCTTCATTATTTAATGTCTTTCCATGTTAGTTTCCTGTCTCTTCAGCGATCACAAAGCTTATGATGGGAGCCGAGGAACATCTGTTTAAATATCAAGTCACAATATAGATCATAATGATTTTTTTCTTTATCCTGTTACATGTATCTGTGTATTATTTTCTTCTTGTGTATTTTGTATAATATAAAATTTCTTATCTCCTCTGTATTTTTCCATATGTCCATTTTGTCTCATAAATATTTTCACGACAATTTGTTAGGTGGTTATTTGTTTGTGATAATGTTTTATTTAGTTTATTTAACGAACACATTAATTTAAATTTCTTTATTCATAAAAACGAACGAAGTTAACTAAAGCAGAAATTAATACGTAAAATAGTGATATTGAATTTAAAGTTTGGGAGCAAGATGGAACATGTTTGTATGTGTGAACTGTATTATGGTTATCGGTTGACTAATTGTAAGTATGTCAAAGTTTAATTTCGTTGCTTACTAAGTCTCTGCATTTAGAAAGGATGTTCTAACGTTTCTTGATTGGTTAAGCAAGTTGTAAAAGAGGTGACAAAGATAGTGAAACATGCTTTGACAGAGTGAGATAGCGTTAGGCGCCCATAAGGGACAATTACCATGGGAATTATTTATCTCATGCTCTTTACTGAGGTCATGAATGTTTATGAGGGTTCCAAATATGAAACAATAGACGTCTACTTAGACAAAAGAGTATTTTCTTAAATTTTGTAAAGAGTAAAATAAAATTATAGTATTTTTGGAAAGAAAATAAAAGTTTGTAAAATCATAAATTTAAAAGCATGAGAAAGTTATCTTGTATTGTTGTTATGCTTATAAAAACTTTATATTTAACAAACTTGTTATTTTACCATATGTCTGTTAATTATATGTCTAGGTAGCGAACACATTTCATATCATCCAATGTAAACCAGAGCCATTAGAGTTCTCTTATGTAATGCAAATTGCAATCATCATTTCATTATTTCCATCATTCTTCAAGTCTTCTTGAACCAGAATCTCCAAAGCCTTTATTTAATTTCTTTGATCCTTATTCTAATATTGATATTTTATTAATTTTCTCATATCAATTTAACCAATCAAATGTATAGTTTTTCTTGGTGTCTCATTATAAACAGGTCACACTAATGTCATATACATGAATGTACAGATATGTTATTATTTTTTGTTCCGTAACATCTTGTGAGTTCAAAGAGCATCTCTGGTTTCAACCCGAGTGAGTGAGTGTTATCTAGCCCCATATATCCCCGTACCAACCTTGAAACACCTCTCGCAGTATCTGTACAGCGGGTTGTTGTTAGTCGCGCGGCAGTGCGCACACAGCCAGTAGTCGTGGTAGTCTAGTTCACTGTCGCTGGAGCTGCTCATGATCTCCGAATCAGCCATCAGAAGCCCGCCGTCCTCCTTCAAAGAAACTTCGATCACTTGCGTCTTTATTATCTCGTTCTGGAATATAACATTATGTGCATATTAATTTGTATATACTGTAAACTTAATCTTCTTCTTCTTCTACCTGGCAATTTCCCAGCTTAAGCCAGGGTTTGTCTTACATGTTGTCAATAGTTTTGGCTATTTGTTTTTACATGTTTTATCAACAATCTTTAGGAATACATTAATCAGTGATGTCTAAATATTCTTAGAAAGTACATATGACTCGGAAAAATCACATTGGTACTTGCCAGGGCCAGGATCGAACCCGCGCCCTCGAGCATGAGAGGCGGGCCTTTTAACCACTAGGCCACCACTATACTCAAAACTTAATATGACGATATATTAATGATGGTAAAGAAAAATTTGGAAGAATTATGCAAATATGTTGACGTGAGGGTTGTATACTAACATCACTGAGGTCCGAGGAACCGCCCAGCAGCGAGTGTTCTTCGTCGGACTGTGAGACCGGTTCGTACTCCACGCCCCGCTCGTGCTCGCTGGCCCATTCTGAATCACTGGTGTCTTGCACAAAATCTACAAACACCACACTTTTACAATGCTAATCTTTTTATTTGAACCTTGCCTTTTTTTCAGTGCTCCGTGAATCTTCTTTCATTTCATTAATATCCCAATTTTTTTTTTTACTTTGCACCACTACTTTTTTGTCTTTTTTTTTCACTTCTACTTTTTTATCATTATTATCATCATCACTACTTTTTTTTAGTTACTCTATTGTTTTGTCTTTTGTACCTCTTTTCATATATTTTTCACCACAAACTACGTTTTTTTTCATATTTTTTATGGTTCAGTAATAACATGTGCAATATTATAACAAACAATCCACAAACTCAAACTTACCATACTAGTATCAAAGGTCATGCAGGCCTAGTTGAGTTATTGCAATATCTTGTTAAATAAAAAAATGATCGAAAATATTATGATACTAAAGCGGACAGTTTGAGGTCTGATGAGATCAGGTGACTTCATATTGATAAATTTAAAATAAATTATCACTTCTTAATAAGACTATGAATATGTGTGTATATGCATATTCACTCAAAGCAATTGAATGCCAAGCAACATTTTGTAAAATATAATTAAAATTATGTGTTATTTATTTACTGTAAGAAACATAAAAGTAGTAAAATTTACTACCGAATCTTGATGAAATTAACGTAATGTAGTAACTGATGTCAATCAAAAGAGTAAAAGCGTCTCAACTAGACCTACTGACCTGACAATGACTTAGAAGATATACAGGGTGACTGGTGAATTACTATCAATATTTAAGGAGAATACTTGATACATGGTTCTCATTCGAATTATGTAAAAAAAATAGGTACTTAATTTTTGACCAAATTTCCGTATAAATAAATAAAGTGTGGACACGTTCCAAGTGTTCCAAATGTGGACGCGTGCGGCGGCGTGCTGATACAACACCACGCCGCCACACGCGTGTGTGGTTGTGTGTATACCTAATCTGTAGGGTGTTCACACGATGCGTAATTAATTACATAACTTTTGGTTAACTTTACTTAGAAGTTTATTAATATTTATGTTATATTAATTTTTATTCTGTCATATATGATCGTCAAATATCACATCCTCAAGTATCGATAGCAATTCACCAGTCACCCTGTATATGTTAAAAATTATTACACACAAACTTGTTAAATAAAAAGGAACAAAAAAAACTAATATCAACTAAACATTTCTTCATGAAAACATTGGATTCACTAAAATATTATTCAACAAAATAATTAATTAACAAATAAATATTATCAATATTAAAATCTCATTAATATATGAATGAATCCACTGTAATGCATTCAAAGTGTGTTTCAACAATCTTCTTGTGAGGAGGGGGCCGTTCTAACAGCAGCACACCAAACAAACATCTGACAATATTACATTCATGTTATTATAACTGCATTCTTACCAAAAAAAATAACAAACAAAATTATAGAAACATTAATACAAACAGACATGAAACTGTAACTAAAATAACATATTAAAAACAAAAAAAAAAACTAATGTTTCACAACATAATATTATAATAAAAAGAATAACTTACAAGCTATACTAATAAATAATACTTGAAAACATTCTATATATATTGTTCTAATGTTGAAGAGGCTGACATAATGAGAGAATCCGAGGGACTTGTCCCGACATGCAGCATATGTTGAGTCATGCAGTGAATGACACTAAGCACTAAGCATTCAACAAATACAACATGCACTAACTTGTCTTGATAACAAAATACAGATACATTCAGTCTACATGCATTAGACATAAGGTTCAAATTAAATTCAACAAGCTTTGTATTCAAATATAAGTGAGAGGAATATTCACAAACTGATCTCAATCAACATGTACTGATTAAAAATCAACTCTTGAAAACTTACTTTACAATATTTTAATATTCAGAAGTTATATAGTTACTATACACTGCAATAAAGCTATGATCATGTATTAAGAATTTAAAATGGAAATTATACAAGCCCTAAAGATAAAATATATTATTTGAAATATAAATTAGATTTCCTTCACAATTGAATTATACAAAGTCACCTGACATCATCATATTTAACTTGATGAAGTTTGAAATTATAACAAATTTTCTCATTCAAAGTATTGCAGAAACTTATTAAAATTAAATAAGTATTTTGTTACTTATATGTAATACTATATATTATGTTATAAACCAATTTAATGTAATGGCAGATATTGTAAGTAAAATGTGTTGTCATGAATCATTGCACTGAATTTGAACATGTCCCAACTTGTTAGAACCTATACAACAGTTGTATGAGACGGGGAATATTGTACTGACGAGAGTTTTTGTATTAAGATGTTATTTCTTAGACTTTGATCAAGCATAGAAAAAGAATAGCAGAAGAACCCTTATATAGTTTAAATATGTATATATCTTATAAACATATAAAAAAATAGATTTATATCCAATAAAGACTTATATTAAAGGAAAAGCATTATCTAAAGAAATAACTATTATTAACAATATAACATTTTCCCTAATAGACAACTAAAGACAGAGTTACTCACTGAATAGGAAGGATAAATAATAAGTTAAGTATAAATGCAAACAATAATAATTATGATGATCATACCAGTTTCTTTGCCCTGGATGCTGAAGACTGTCTCCGTGGAACAACGTCGACTCCATGAGGGTTCTGAAACATTGGCAAAAGATATTTATAACAAGAATATCATACAAATAATAGTTAGATATAATATGAGCATGTATTTATATAACGGTTGGTAAGAACTGTTTAAACTTGGACCACAGACAGAATTAATAATTAATAAAAAAATATGTCTATGCTATTTGAAGTAAATACTGAAATATAAACTGAAATAAAATATGGAAATCGAAGATATTAAAGAGAACCAGAATTATTATAAGAATCGAGTTTTATATAAAAATATGTAAAACCAAATTATATTTTTAAATATCAGTTTTTCAAAAAATATATTTACTATAACTTAAAAGTATGTATGTATTATAATAATTACATTGTATCATTACGTTAAAAGTAATCCAAATAAACGAAGTTGAAAATTATTTATTTACACTATGAGGAAATATCAAACCTTGGCAAAACATTTCCCGCGAAAAATATAATAAACGTTATTAGGTTAAAAAACAAACTACATAAACTGACTAGTAAATAATAAAAAAGGACAGCACCGTACTTAAACGATAGGACTCTCAAGAAAAAAAAGCATTCGCAAAAAACAGCTGATCAAGGAAGAATGACCAAGATCTTTTTAATTACTGTTTAATAGTAAAAACAAAATCATTACCGATAGGAGAGAGCGATTAAACGCTTTATAAAAACAGAGATATACAATAACCATACTGTTAATAATAATGATCAAAAAGATTTGGCCTTCAACTTTCAAAATACAAGCGGGACAACGCTAAGTATCGTAGGTTTTAGATTTCAACTTATTTTATATTGAAAGTTTAAACACATACCTGAAGAATACGTCGCTGTTGTATTCATAATATGAACGCTACACTAGTTAGGAATTTTATTTAGGAATACGCAAAATGTACTCCTTCGGATCGTTTTATACCTTACTTTAAGAATATGTCGACTCGTCCGGACAAGTCCCCGCCTCTATAAAAATTTGGATGAAGTCATAAACAATAATATGAAACGATGCAAAATACTCATTGGTGGTTCTTACTTATGGTGTACAAATAGACCAATCACAATTGAGGCTGTCTATTTATAACCAATGAGCTTTGAATGTAATATTACAGCGTGGAATGTGGTTTATAAACCATAGCTAACACATTATTTGAAAATATTGCTAAATATATTATTTGCCAATTCTAATAACTTGTATCACTATAAAAAATCAATAATGGAATAGAAGAATAAAATATATTAATATCTAAATATTTAACTAATAGTTTTAGAAAATAAAATCATTATAGTTATGTAAATGGATTACGGGTTTATTTTCGTCCTACTTACATAAAAAAAAAATTAAGAAATTTTTCTAATATTACTATATACCTGTAATTCTTGTTTGACATAGTTAATTTTCATTTGAAATATTCATTTTCACTATAACTACTTGCAAGGTGTTGCTACTTAAAAGAAACTATAATCTATTTGACTCAATGGTAAACTGCCAAAACTTCCTTTTCCTTGTGGCATGGTGTCGGCATAAGGTGAGTTGTTCTTGAAAGTTGAATTATTTTGTTTTTCGTCGTAATATTGTGAAATATTCAAACATTTGTTACACGGGTTAAACAATCCAATTTCCGAAGGTAATATTTTTCTTCAAGTATTTGTTTTTATACGTTCGGTCCATAAAACAAAGTTATTGCACGTGTGCGAAGCTAAGGTGTTAGGGATAACCTTACTTAGTTTTTTGAAGAACCAATGATTTGATAATCACGTTTCGCGTCCGTGCTGTTGTGAAGTAGATAAATTAACGCTGTTTTTGTTATAAGTATTGAAATATTTCAACTTAATACGAATCACCATAGTGTTTGATAAGGTGACACTTTTGTTGTAGTTGCCGTAAAAGCAACCACAATGCCGCAGAACGAATACATTGAGCGCCATCAAAAGCTTTACGGTAGGAGACTCGATTATGAGGAGCGGAAACGTAAGAAGGAGGCTCGTGAGCCCCACAAGAGAGCCGAGAAGGCGCGCAAATTGAGAGGCATCAAGGCAAAGATCTTTAACAAGGAGCGCCGAAATGAAAAGATTCAGATGAAAAAGAAGATCAAAGCGCACGAGGAGAAAAATGTGAAACAAAACACGGAGAAGGTGGCCGAAGGAGCCGTGCCCGTGTACCTACTGGACAGAGATGTACAGTCGAGAGCTAAAGTACTGTCTAACATGATAAAACAGAAGAGGAAAGAGAAGGCTGGCAAATGGGACGTACCGATACCGAAAGTAAGAGCTCAGGCTGACGCTGAGGTGTTCAAAGTACTTAAATCAGGAAAATCAAAGAGGAAAGCCTGGAAACGCATGGTCACCAAAGTAACATTCGTAGGAGAGAACTTCACACGGAAACCGCCTAAATTTGAAAGATTCATCAGGCCGATGGCATTGAGGTTTAAGAAAGCACATGTAACACATCCCGAGCTCAAGGCTACATTCTGTTTACCGATCATAGGAGTGAAGAAGAACCCTAGCTCACAGATGTACACGAGTCTAGGAGTCATTACCAAGGGTACAGTCATCGAAGTGAATATATCAGAACTGGGTCTGGTGACGCAGGCTGGTAAAGTTGTGTGGGGGAAGTACGCACAGGTCACCAACAACCCGGAGAATGATGGGGTCATTAATGCTATTCTACTTGTTTGAATTGTATTATGTGTGCTCATTGAATAAAGATTACTTAATAAGAATTGATTTTTATTTACTAATATTTCTATCAAACCATGTATATGAGAAAGTTATATTTAAGTTTTCTTCCCTTGTATTTGGTTTTAATTTACCAAATAGCCACAATAATCTATTTCAGATATGAATTAATAAGTTTTAGATTCATAATATAGTAAAAACTGAATACTAATATTTGTTATTTTCTTAACACTTAAAGCTAAGTATCACAAAATTTATTTATATTTTAAAACAAACTATTTACAACCATGTTGTATCATCTCAGGAGCCAAGATGCAGATTTTCGTGAAAACCCTCACGGGGAAAACCATCACCCTCGAGGTGGAACCCTCGGACACCATCGAGAATGTTAAGGCTAAAATACAAGACAAAGAGGGAATCCCTCCGGACCAGCAGAGGTGAGAACCACCTTTATAAAAATGCTCTATATATTAATGAATCCCTTTATCCTTTGGTCACTGCATCACACGTGAATGACTGGACCGATTTCACAATAATTTTTTTTTATTGTTAGAAAGTTCTCATGTAAAACATAATACTAGAATATTTCACTTTTGTAATAAAATAATGTGTCACTGGCAGTAATATTCATGTAATAGCTATTAAAACGAAGCAAAAATTTAAACAAATTTACTTCATTTAGACAAAAAGGTAACTGATATTTCTTGAGTGAGAAGTTTACCGGGTCCGTACTTAAATAAAATATCTGTTCCATGAGCTACTTTTAATTATATATTTATTCTTCAGGTTGATCTTCGCCGGTAAACAGTTGGAAGACGGTAGGACCCTCTCAGACTACAACATACAGAAAGAATCCACCCTCCACCTGGTACTGCGGCTGAGAGGAGGAGCCAAGAAACGCAAGAAGAAGAACTACTCCACACCCAAGAAGATCAAACACAAGAAGAAGAAGGTCAAACTAGCGGTGCTTAGGTTCTATAAGGTAGGTGGCGCTGGCGGGAAAAACACCGAGACACATTGATATACTAACAAACATTTGAAGTTTGTAAAACATTAAAAGTACATCGTCTAGTTTATGATAGAAATTGTTACTCATCAATTTTGCTTATCCATCATAATATTTTTATCTAACCATTTATAGAAAGAGCATTCTTAATTAACTCGTCGAATAAACAGATCCGTTTGATGTATTTGTGTATGTGTATTGTATGCAATGAAGGTGATGTGTCATAATACCAGTGCGGTCGTGAGGGAACAAGTCCATACAGGCATCCTTATGTTTGTTTGTTTAGAAATAAAACAAAACGAAAGCTATTGACTTCACTGTACAGTGTTGCTCGAGTCGGTACATGTCGGTGCAGGCTCGGAGATAATACAACGACCCCAATGTAATCACGACACTGACTCACGTTTAAAGGTCTATTGAAATCAGCTCAATACATCTTTAAGTTGTTTATTTATGTTTCTTCGGAACACGCACAGACTTGAATAGTTTTAACGTAGTATCACGTGGCGTGATGTTCAAAATGTCTGTTATTATTTTCTTTTCTAATATTTTTCTAATTAAAATGATTTCGTAAACATTGTATTTGAATTAGATGCACGACACTTGGATGGCTTGAAACCTTGAGGGCTGGTGGTGAACACCAAAATGTAAAGATCAAGATCCTTGTGACATTATATGTTAAAATTTAAAATACTTGATTGGGAGTTCTTAAAAAAATTAAATCAAATTGAATTGATCTACATCTATAAACACTTTGAGTGTATCTTTCACACAACTTGTATCCGCGTTGTAATGAATGTGAGATATTAAAGTTCCGATAGGTTCTTATTCGTGAGAGATGCCTTGGATCGTGTTAGTTTGCGTACATCAGTCATGTGTGTGTGTGTTTGTGTTGCAGGTGGACGAGAACGGTAAGATCCACCGTCTGAGGCGCGAGTGTACGGGCGAGCAGTGCGGCGCGGGCGTGTTCATGGCGGTCATGGACGACAGACACTACTGTGGCAAGTGTCACTCCACCATGGTGTTCAAGGACGATGAGAAGTAATCAAGTAGTCTAGTAGCCGCGCGCTCGCTCGCTGTGTATGATGGATTGTAATAAATCTTGACACAGTGTCTGAGCTATCTATCTTGTTTTATTTCTCTGGACACTCCACAGGTAATCCCCTTTTATCTTTACTTCTCACCTCCAATGCTTTCGTTACTTGCATATTCCTAGTCCGATGATGCATTCTTAGATTTGCCTTAATATTGCAAGTTTTTATTATTGTGGGAATGATTCTAGCCATGCAGTCATTCATCAACTCACAAGGGAGTATACACAAAGTACGTCACACGTTAATTGGGAGGGAGGATGTTTCCGAAGTGTGACATGTGATAAAGAGCATGGGGGGGGGAATAGTTTTGTGACGTCACATTAAAATTTAAATTTCTAAAACGCGGTTTAGATGTGAATTGAAAATAAAAATATTAACGAACCTAATCTATATTTATTAATAATTTATAGTATTCCCGCTATGAGACAACGTAACGTCATTTAACTTTATTTTCAAACTAGTCGTTTGTTTTTTCGGGTTTATGAAATGTTGGTTAATTTTATTAGTTCATTATTTAATAAAAATAAGTAAGAAATGAAAATACCTATCTGTTTTCTCTCGATTATTTCAAATATATAATTTTAAAAATGTTTGACGTCACCTTATGGGGTCCCAAAGTCGTAAAATTGGTGTGACGTACTTTATGGATGGCCGTCAAAGGCATTTACTACATACAGAATAAATTGATCAAATTATTTTTTTAATAAAATAAGTTATTTGAATTAAGTGCTGGAGGTTTTGGATTATTTACATTTAGCCAGTAATTCCAAGCTTGATTTTTCTTTAGAAATCAAATAAACATGGTAAGGATAAATGTGTTTTTATTTATTTTATTATTTCCCTTGCACTTTCCATAAGATACTTTTACAGACTTTCTTGGAACAGTTACATGTTAGTCATCCACACAACACTACTAAATATTTTTAAAAATTGCAAATAGTTATAGCAGCTTAATGTCAATTTTCTGTAAATTACCTAACTGTCTGGAGAACTTTCAGAGTACACAACTATTAAAAATAAATTAGAAAGAGTATTTTCTAAACGATGTCGAGTGTCATTTCATTAAAAGAGACATGATTATTTTTTCCAAAAATGGAACTGTAAGTAAGAAACTTATATTTTTTTTCTTCACCATCGGAAAATAGAGATTTCAACAAATAAAAATCATACCAAATTTTTCAAAAAAGCTGTTATTTTGACGGGTGATTTTTCGATAGAAAATGAGGCTGATTTTTCGGTATTTATTCAAAATAAGCTGAAAAAATAAATATTTCTTATCAAATAAATTACAGTGTATTTGAGATATCAAAAGGTAAATTTTCACCAAATTTAGTGAAAAAATATTGTTTTTTGTAAGAGATAAAAATAAAAAACCAAAAATTTGTTTTTTCGATTTTTTCACATAAAATTTGAGGCTATGTGAAAAAAATGTTAGTACAAAAGTTTTAGATCTTTTTATTACCTACAAATTTGCCATATAACTTTTTTCCGTAGAACTTTGTTTTGCCGGAAATCGAGAAAACCCATTTTTTACCCTTAAATACCCACCCCCATAGCCTTCCCGACCTCAGATCGCCCGTAAATTATTTTTCCTTAAATTTTTATAATATCCCCCTCCTTTTCTAATTAGTTTCATTCTACTATAATTAAATTATGTTTTTCATTAATTTTAAAGGCTTCTGCACTGGCCTATACACAATATATTAACGTTTACAAAATATTAATAGAGAGGATCTGAAAAAGAAACAGCAAAATTAAATTAAAATATTTTATTCAATACTGAGAATAGATTTTGTCTAACTTATAAATAACCTAGTATCTACTGGGATTTGTGCATCATCTACTCAACACAAAACATCACAAACTTTGGCAAGATCCACTGACACACTAGTAACACGATCAGCACCCACACATGGAAATACGACTTATAGTAACAATAATTACTCTACTTACACTAACATCGATCAATATTATTTAAATTCAACAACGTTATTGCAATCTTAGAAGACTGGATACTCAGTGTACGACCTCGTGCGACTTGGACGACGTTCATACGTATTGTACGGTCATTAATAAACAAAACTGGACATTCAATATGATGGTAATGAGAAAAAATATGACTGAAATGACTGATGATAATAGGTGCAGAAATAAGAACGGCTCAATAACTATTATGATGGATTATACACTAAACTAAAGGAATCTAAACCGACCACGAGCTGGTAGATGAGGTCTTGGAAATATAACATCTCACAAAGATAAGGCAATAGTATATTGAATGTGACATGAATGTATTGACGGAGGTTATGAATGAAATACTTTATACTCGCCGTATGAAGTGTGACGATGGACACTTGTGATAAGGGTATGAGGTAGTTAACGCACAGCTCGGAACATAATGTTGAGTGAGATGTGAGTTGATATCATCAATATGTACAGGAGATAGCTGGTCCTACACTGTAGTACGCTCCTGTTGTGAGTTACTAACTATATTCTATAACATTAAAACGACGGTTAAGTTCCAACCGAGATTTATATGAATATTTTTATTCCTCTGTATAAATATAATTCATGATTCTATAAAGTACATCTCTATCTATATTAAACTATTTACAACTTATTGGAATGGAATCCAGCCATTACGTTAGTCCGACCGGGCGCGGCTCCTATCTATCTTCTATGTAACCGATTCATTTCTTATGAATCTGTTTCTATATATTCCTGTTTCCTCCGAGGCCTGACTCCGGGCCGCTCTTCCTTCGACGTTAACTTAAGTACAACGATGTATGTATGTATGTTATTTGTACGAAGACATTCCTCATGTCGTGTCATGTGAGTGGTGACGTCACTACCGGTCGCCTCACAGCTCGTCCCGGTTGTCCGTATCTCCGTCTGTCTTCTCGAGCGCGGGCTTGATCGTCTCCAACAATGATTTGAGAGCCTGCTCCGTCTGAAACGATACATGACAACATAAACATAGGGATTACATAGACATCAGTAGCCGGGAAGTCTCATTTGTGTTACCTGTAAGAGATGCGTGACGGTCCGGTCGAGGGCGGAGCGCCACGCCATGAGCTGTCCTCTCTGGCGCGCCGAGTGGGACTCCAGGGCGCGCGCCCACGACGCCGCCTGCGACTCACTCAGAGTGTTCATCCTGGACAAAGATCATTACACGTCACACATGAACATACAGCAGTTAGGTTAGTGAAGCATCTGTAGAGTACAAATAGGGAAGGTATCAGCAGCTAAGGTTATAATAAAAACAGAAAATTCATATCCAGCAGCCGGTTCTAGTATCACAGACTAGTCGTCTTTCTATCTATCTATGTATGGAATATATATCTTTATATATATAATTCTTCTGTGAGTGTGTATGTCACTGAACTTTTCTCAAACGACTGGACAGATTTTGATGTAATTTTTTGTGTGTGATCAAGGGGATCTGGGAATGGTTTAGATTCACAATTTTGTCCGCTGGACAATGTTTTTATAATTAATTTTTAATTTATTACTAGTTGTTGATACAAACGCTGTTTTTGATATTAGATTTGACAATTAACTAATATGTCAATCATTCTGTCACACTTCAAAACACGGAGATTTACGGCTTTAATAGGTAAACTTCAAAAATATAAATAAAAAAACGTAACAGATATTTCTTGATTATAGGGCGATACGAAGTTCGCCGGGTCTTCTAGTGGATATATATATCTGGAGTGAAATGGTCTGATTGTATATTATGTGTATAATATTTGTATATTGTGTGTATTGTATCTATTTGTATTTCAAAGGAGTGTATTAAGTCTACGTCCCCCACAACTATGTGGTATGTGTGAGGTCCCGACCTGCTGTGTAAGTGTTCGAGGTCCATCCTCCTCTCCGCGTGATACAGCCTCCAGTACAGCAAAGCATTGAGGGCGAGCAGCACCAGCAATGCGGCCGTGAGCCAGGTCCCCGCGCGGCTCGCGGGGGCTCCGCTGGCGGCCGTAGGGCTCCCAGCTGGTAGAGTCGCCGCCGTAGATAACGTTCCCAGAGGAGTCACTGTGATGATAGAACAAAGAGTTTAAATATAAAATTCATAATAACACACATACACACACACACACACACACAATCATGCAAACACGCACCTATTGGATTCCCACCCGTAAACAGTTTTACCTTTATATTACTTTTATACTATAAGTTTTACTTTTATGCTATCGTCTTCTAGTTATTAATATGTTTAAGTTACCTGTGTAATCCTATTTTGGTTTTAATTTTATGTTATATAATAGTTAATATAGAAACTTATGTATAAAAACTGTTGGATTACCAAATAAATAAAATAAAATAAAAATGACACACTACAGAGGGACGGTCTAAAGTTTTGATTCATAAAATCTCGAACACAATTCAGTAGGGGCGTGGAAAGTTAAAGGAGTTTTACGAAAGAACTGATGAAGAAAAGACTAGAGCATCGAGATGAAGAGTCTGTTTGTTTGAGGACAGTTGTTGTGTATACCGTCTCCTCTCCTGCGTCGTCGTGACCGCGCCTGTAGGGCGGGCGGTGGGCGGACGGGTCGCGCGGGACGGGCGGCTGCCATAAGGCGGCTCTCCAACAAGCGCGCGAACTCCTCTATGCCGGACATGGCGTTTTTCTCCAGGAACGCTGTGAGAGTAATGATCCATGTTAACTTGAGTCCTATCGCTCCTTAGTCCCAGACGTCGCCTCCCCCTCACCCTTGATGAGCGGCCACATGTTCTTCTTGTAGTTCACGTATCCGTACAGCTCGAGCGCGGTCCGCTCGCCCCTCCTCCTCATACAGTAGTGCGCCTCCACGCTGAAGTAGTCCGCGTAAGGGATGCCCGCGTTCTCGTTGCTGCAGTCGATGGAGTACAACACGCCCGGCTTGCTGCAGCGGTTCATTACCTGGACATATTCAATACATAACACGTTAATATGAGAACATCTTCGATAACTAGAATTTTATTTTCCATTATTAGAATTAACATGAATGCTAAAACAATAAATTGCTTACAAGACTAAAATAATTAGTTCATTGCGAATCGTTTATGGAAAATTAAATTATAGGTCTAAGAACTGACAGTTTGTGACACGTTTAGGTGATGTTAAGATTTGGATTTTAGTTATTTTTATAAAACATCAACGGTTTCACATGACTCGTCATATACAATATACGTTCAAGTCAGAGTCAGTCATCTGATGTGTGTGTGTTCCGGTCACCTGTGTCTCGGTGACCTGCACCTCCTTGGGTCCCATGGGTCCGGAGGTCAGGCCCAGCGTGTAGCTAACTTGACGACACTTCAGGCCGTTCTGAGGCTGCCACGGGTTCTGAAACACAAACGAAAAACATAAAAGTTATACGGACTATACTTGAGACATTTAAGATCAATCATATTGAGTTTCATCTCTGTCACACTACACACAGATCTTCTAGGTCTTTCATAAAACCAGTGGCGGCTGGTGGGTTATCTAACTGGTGGTGCACTTTAATAAAATATTAAAATTAGAAAATGCAACAAAAAACCAATTGACATAAAATATGTTTATTTTTTATACATTAATTAATGCAACGACATTTTTCCGAAGCGAAATGTTCAATCACCTATTTATTAAAATCGGGTATTGTTTGTATATATTTTTTTATTCAATACTAAGCATAGAAAGTGCATTTAGCAAGTGCATGGTATTTCGGAGAAAAGTTTTGATTCTTTTCAATTTCAATTTGTCATACATCGGGTGCTCTCGGTAATCTCCGGCCGCTCGAGCGGCGCTCGAGAACCGACTCATTACTCGGTACATTTCTATGAACTATCTTTTGTTCACGCGTCAGGCGTATTAATTCGTATCTCATACAAGATGTATTAGCAGTCCTCGTGCACTCGCCGAAGCGCACGAGATATTAGTTTAGTAAAGTGCTCAAACTTTTTGACTATAATTAGAAATTAATTTTTTTATACGTTTTTGTATGTTAAGAAAATAAATATTAAAACAGCCGCCACTGCATAAAACCATATCCAAAACGACACCTCTTAGAACCTAATATATTCATATGCGTGTGACGGGTCCATCGTTGTAGTGAGAGGAGCTTCAACAGTGACTGGGACTTGCGACCTAAGTGTAGGTTTAAGGGACCCTATGTAACGCGCGTTAAACGCTCACCTCCACTATCCAAACTCACTACCTAACCAAATTTGAAATGAACCTACTAGGGCTGCCTTCGAAGTACGTTTGAAGAATGAATTATAATGTGCTGGATAATATGAATATCACCTTATTATGTGTGTGTCGTGTATACCTGTACATAGTCGGAGGTGTCCCTGGCCGCCAGCAGTTCCAGGTTGAACTTGGAGTTCGTGAAGATCATCGTGAACAGCTGGTCGATGTTGATGGGGAACTCCTGCTGCAGCAGCAGCTTGCCCTCGTGAGGGGACGTGCACTTCTCATCCTCACCGTTACTGACACAACAATAAATAATTCAGATCGATGCTTGTTTATTGAAAGTTATAAATGTTTTAACGATATATTTGGACATAATCGATAGTGATATCAACCGCTTTGGTTAAATTAATCATTATGAACAAACTGAATGCACAACTTTCAGCCAGATTAGCTTGAAACATTCAGAGACAGGATTGATTCCTTGTGTTCAGGCGTTATGAATCTCCATATGTCTGATAGTGCGCGCGCGCGCGTGCGTGTGTGTGTACCGATCGCGTTCTCTGTATGTGCGTACGTGTTCTGTGTGTGTGTGTGTGTGTGTGTGTGTGTGTGCGTGTGTATGTGTGTGCGCGCGCGTGCGCGTGTGTGTGTGTGTACCTGTTGTGTTTGTCGGGCTCGCTGTCGCTGGTGTCAGACATGTCTGTGGGCAGCGCGTCCCCCGCCTCCTCGCGGAACTCCGCCGTACCATTGGTCACTACGAAAAAACACACACACACACATTAGACTATACTGACTGACTGACACATCAAACTGTACCGACTGACATTCAGATTAATATTGACTTAATACAACAGAAAGATCGGAAGTATTAAGTTAAATATATGTTCACAAAAAATAAATTTAAAATAAAATAAATGGCATTAAATTTATCATTTACCATTTAAGACCTCATCTCTAAACACAGTCCGGTGTAGTTAACAAACAAATTCTTTTGAACCCGTGCGGACTGGTCGTTACAGTACTCACGGCCATCGTTATAAATAGAGTTTGAATAGTAAAACATAACTTAATATGTTTAAACTTTTCGGCTAAATTAGGTTCGATAAAAATATCAACTCTCTGTTAGAAAACTTTTGAATTAAAACATATAAAAAGAAACAGAACTCAAAGAAACCACATCACTAAGGACTTCCGAAACAAAGTTATAGATACGACGAAAGTAGTGTTAGTATTATAAATGTTATATGGTGTTAGGGGACTGTCGGCTGATATGAGGAAGTTAATATGTTACACGAAAATTTTGATTAAAAAAATAGTTAAATGAAATTAAGAATCATATTAATTTAAAAATATCACAACAGTTAAAACTTGATACATTTCAAATAATCGTAAATTTTATTGTATTATTATATCATCGTCACACTACACGCGAGGTGTTCCGTAATACTATAATGAAAGAACACTATATTAATACTATAACGGGAAGACTTATGAATGAAAACTGTCAACTGTGACGCTCTTCAGAGCGAGCATTCAGAGTAGAGTATTCGTAGTGAGTATACTAAGTTATAATATATTCACATTCTTCAGCGGCCTCCACTTCTCCGTCCACAAATTCTCCAGGGTACAACGGAGCGACCTGACTGTGAACCACCACAAAGTCACCCTCGATCCTCTCCACCAAGTCCTCTCCACGGTTGTACAAGGCCATGATCAGTCGGAACACTAAGCTCAACAAATACGTGTCCCACATCATAACATCACGTTATAAGTTTATAAAGTTCTCGCGAACACGGCTTGTAGCGAAACCGAGCGAGTACTGCTTTATTTATAAGTTGTAAGGCGTGTTATAACACGTAAAGGCGATAAGGATTTTGTTTTGAATCAAGCAATCACACAACAGATGTCGCTGCCTTAATGATGTTTATAAATTAAAATATACAAATCGTAACCAGTAACGAATATTAAATAACGTACATTAGTTTCTACATAGTTATGTTTATTTTAAGTCACTTATAGTCCGTTAGACTTAAGCTGAGCTTTGAATTTGTGTGAATTAAAGTAAATGTAGAGTTAGACAAAAAAAAGTTTGTATTAAATTTTATAATATTTTAAATAGATACATAATATAATGGCTATAATATAAGCAAAACTTGTAAAAGGCCAGATGGAAATATTATGAAGATTATGGAAAAAAAATATTGATTAATAAAAATGTTGAAAAAACTATACAAATTATTATTCACTTGACATTGCGTTTTCAACATTTGATTTTACTACCAGTACAAAAGGTGAAGTGAGGAAGGTACGGGGCGGAGTAAAAACAGAATAAACTGGTCCAAAACTAGAAAAGAACGTGGCATTCAAAAATTTGACATCACACCTACACTATCCGTGTACACTCACACGAATGCAAAGCTCAGCTTAAATCAAACACACTATAGTTCGCTTGGCGTTTGTTGTCTTAAACACGGGGTTTCCCCTTTAAATAACAAATCTCACTTGTCCAAAGTGTTCGTAAGATTTGGGGGAGTTACTCGAATATTTGAGTACTTGTTGAAATTACTTCGATATTGAAGCTCAGTTAAACAAGGAAATAAAAATAATGGTTAGGAATTAATGTAAGCGTTCCGAGCAGTTACTGATAACGATACAGCGAGGCGGTTGGCGCGTCCTTGACGGATTGTAACCAAGTATTTAACAAAAAGAAATTGGGGGAAACTGATTTGGTATTACATTCATAATATTAAAGAATTTAACCAATACAGACCCGCGCGTAGTGTGTGTGTCACGTCGAGATCATAAGGAGAGTCCATGGCTCTAAAACACTTTCTTACAAAAACATTCTACTGTCAAATGTTATCACGATTATTCTAGTTTGACTAATGTTTGACATACGAATAGTTCGTTCAAAAACTTTATATTTTTTTAAAGTCTTTGAAATAAATACCTAATATATATTTCAATAATTGTGTGACGTGCAATAAAATGTATATACATATATCCAATAGAAATTGGCAATCTTGTAAACAAAGCAACTGACCACGATTATTCCATTCTTACGTACAATGGAAATCAGTCCTGATAATAATTACATCCTAATGAACCCACCACTGTTTTTAACAATCTTTTTATTATTAAACAACGATATATAAATGTTTATTTTATAAAATTATTTTGAACACGAAAATTTATTGTATTTGTCAAATTGACACCATCATTTTTACTCATCTAAGTCTATTCGTCTTTGAAAAATGAGTTCTGTACATACTTAATTATACAATGAACAATTTTTTGTTGACTTCCTTTAATTTACTTTTAAACTTAGGAATGTATAGCTGACCTAGAGAACTTTGTTTCTTCTTAAAGGCCGTAAAGCCGTTTTTGAAATATAAATGGTGTATCTGACAAGACTTTCATTTTAAAATAAAGATATTTATAATAATTATTATTTGAACTATAACCAACTCAAAAATATTAAAAAGATTTGATTATGCCAAACACTATAGTGTATTCAAGGGATTGTGATGAAAATCTGTCAATTTTTTCTGGTATTTAGTAGACGGAACTAAACATAAGTAGCTCTAAAAAGAACAAATACATAAAACATTTTTTTAATCGTTAGTGATCTCGTAATAATTATTGACCTCGATGGCATGGTCTTTGGGGTTTCCCAAGGAACCAAGTATTTTTAGTGCTATTGGGATGCAAACAACTCTTCTGTGTTCTTGTTTGCATTCTGCACTTCTAAACTCGTTAAATAATACTTAACAAAATATGAACAAATTGAAGTAATTTTTTATATTAATATTTCAATCTAATAATTAAGATTAAAGCATCTTAAACCGTTCTCACCACATATGCCACTATAGACCAATATCAACCGATCACGTTTTGTTTACAAAATTCCAAATTTTTATTGAAATGAACTATACATATTTTAATATAACAATGTTAATATTTGTTGTGTTATAAATGTATATACCGCACACATTGACTTGCGAACATTTATAACATTTAACGATCTCTAATCCTTTCGCGAGTATTCATTTAAATGAAACCAATATTATTCGGATTACGAGTTATTATATTGTTTTTTAATACTACATACACCCGACCTTTAGGTTGCTAAGGAGCAGATGAGCATTAATTCGAAACTATTAGTATCATTTACGTGTAACATTTGTTTATCAATGAGTAATATATATGATAGACGCGCCTACTCTTGCCATGTGGTGTCAAAACTTTTCTAGATTTGTATGTATGTATGTTCGTCCGGTCGTTATCAAATTATATCTCCAGAACCGTTGTGAACACTGAATTTATTGTTCCATACATTGTATGTAGTGACTACGACGACAAATAATTAGGAGCGGTCAAGTGTGAGTTTAATGTAAAATTAAGTTCAGAATAAACTATTAATACTCTCGCGGCGACCTGGAGCAGTTACTCTGATAACATGATTAGTTTGGACCGACATGAGCTATGTAAAAGAGTTTGATATATATAGTTATGTTAATAAACTAAAAGATTCATGAAAGATTCGCTACAGAGTAACTGTGCGTGTGTGCAGTGCCGGCGTTAGGGGGGGGGGGGCGCGATGGGGCGACGGCCAAGAGCGCCAAATTTGGGGGGGCGATTAGTGGAGGTAGGATACTTATAAGTGAAAAAATAAAAAAAAATAGGAGCTACATAACTTTCTACGTCCAGGTCGTTAGCTCTGGGTCACGCTAAAGGAAAGATGGAAGATGGAATATAGAATTCTTAATACAAGTTCAGTGTTCACATTGGTTCAGAAAAAAATTAATACTCGATTTTGATTTCTTCAAGTGGTCGCCAAAATATTCTTGCGCAGGGTGTCAGTCCCTCTAACGCCAGAACTGCGTGTGTGTGTGTTTGTGTGTGTGTCTGTATATACTCACCAGTCTGGTAGGGCGCGGCTCTCGTCTCCGCCGCTTCCATGGAGGACGAGTCCACGGCCTCCTGGCGACATACGAGCACACCTTGTACTATCATTACGATAATAACAACTTACAAATTACATACACGACGAACTGATGAAGGATATCCTTTACTAGAGAATGTTTGACAGAACATAATGTAACGAACATCGCCGGGGCGACACACATGTATAGATATTGATATAAAGTCATATAATTATGACGAGTGATGCTGATGAGTTCCCGACACTCACTCCTAGTGTGAGTGAGGATATTCCTGGTACACAATACATGATCATGATTGCTATCCTAACATACAGGTAATATAGTATGAAGGACAAGTTAAATGTTTTATTATAATATAAGTATATATATATATATATATATACATAAGTAAATTATCAAATATTCCTGAACTATTAATCCCTATCATTATTATATCCAACTCACTGTTCGTAGTTCCTCTCACTCCACACTACCTAACCGATGACCGATGACTACCTCGTGTGTTACTAATTAGTGTAGTATATGTAATTATTTCAGTTAGTGATGTGGAATAGTTAGTTTAATATCTGAGAGGATGATGACGAAATATTAGTTAAAGTTATTCTTACTGTATAATTTATATATTTATAACGATTTTATTAAAAAATATACAATAACACGATATATTAAAAATGAAGACCTATCATTAAATTGATTAATTATTAATTAATTTAATCTCATTCAGAAATTCATTAATTTTTATAATATTTTATATTATTGACATATAAAAAGAAATAAATATATTTCATTAATGATATTGATAAAATAATTTACTAATTACACTATTATCTAATGGAACGAGAACATCTGCATGGTAATAAGTTTTTTTAAATCACTGATAAAATTCTTTAACTCACACAAACAGCATGACAACATGAACTCACAGATATAATATTTATTTAATATTAGAAATAAGCAAAAAAATTAGTTTTAATATGACTAAACACTATGATAATAAAAATATAAATAAACCTACTAATATTATAAATACGAAAGTAACTCTGTCTGTCTGATACGCTTTCACACCTAAACCACTAAACTGATTTTAATGAAATTTGGTACAGACAGAGTTGACCTTGAGAAAGAACATAGGATAGTTTTTATGCCAGACTTTTGAAAGGTTCTCTTGGAAACACGATATAACCGAACTCCACGCGCGAAGCTGCGGGCGGAAAGCTAGTATAATATATATGTATATCTCACTTTCTTTCTCAGTAGCCCCGCAAGGATCATGTCACTGTTGCTTCGTAGCTCGTGTACACTCAACACAACCTTTATCACTCAAACTGTTTCGATAATATACTTTTATCATATAATATGCGATTATTATTTGATAAAAATAAAGATAATATTTAATTATATTATAACGCGTATATACAGCATTGCTATTTATAAACGACAGGCGCTTAAGATAAATAATAAATATATAATCAAATGCTATACATATTTTATTTTTATGTTATAAATATATTTAGTGATGTGGGGTGATTGTAGTGACATATAATTATTAGTATTATTATAGACACCACGTGTATGGTGGTCACATTACATTGTTAAAACAGTACAGGGAGGATCTGTGATTATATACAGATTCAATGTGTGTGTGTATGTGTGTCTAACCTCTGATACGTCCACGTTCTGTTCGTGCGGGTCGTGGGCGTCGTGAGCGTCGTGAGCGTCGTCGTCCGAGTCGAACCCCAGCTCAGCTCCGTAGCACGCGTGCACCTGACACACAAACACACACTGTACATTATAACACACGACACATAGCGATAACTAACGAATAACATGTCTATCAAAGCTCGACTAGTACTCCCTATAATGTAACCTCGTCTGTATTCATGTATCATAATATATTCAACACGCTCGGCCTAAACTGAATCTGCGACATTCGGGAACATGTATGTATATAATATAGTACATTTATGATACAAAATAATGTTATTAATTTTTTGCTTATTATAACTAAATCTCAGCTAATAAATAATTTAGTAACTAAATAACTATATTGTACAGAGAACCTTCAAACAGACAACCAAAATTATATTATTAAAATCATTTAAAATTAAGATCATATAAAATACTATGAAACATTCATTGACCGGTCTCAGTTCAACGGAACCTGAAACTTATGGAATGTGACGTCACACAATACAGATTAAAATATGTCAATACTACAGTTAAGGAACCTTCTACTCTTCCTATTATGGAATAATATTATAAGAAACAAATCGTATTGGACCAAATATTCAAATTCAAATTTCAAACGTTTCAAATGAAAACGAACAGGATTCGAACCTGCAACTTATAGAATATCACGTTACAGTCACTTTAATACTCAGCTACTGTGACAAAGATATTTGACAATAAAAATTCATAGTGAGTGACGTCATACATCAGTCCTATCACGATTTGTGTGTGTGTGTGTGTGTTACCAGCTGCAGTATCTCGTGGCTGGACATGGGCTGGTCCATGAGCGCGTTCTGCCAGATCCTGAACAGCATGAGGTACGCCTTGTCCCTGCCAGTGAACGACGCCAGGAAATTCTTCTCCGTCTCCGTGCAGATCAGGATCGCGTTGGGTATCACCTGCGTGTGACGTCACAATAATGAGATCATTTATGACGTCGTTTTCGTCGACGTTTATATCATCAGTAGTGGCTCAGTGGTTAAAGGGTCCGCCTCTCGTCGCAGAGGGCGCGGGTTAGATCCTAGACCGGGCAAGTACCCCAATGTGATTTTTCCGAATCATATGTACTTTCTAAGAGTATTTAGACATCACTGATTAATGTTGATTCCCAAAAGAGGGTTGATGTCAGGCAGGCGGCCGGTTGTAAAAACAAATAGCCTAAAAACAAATAGCCAAAACCTATTCACAACATTTAAGGCAGACCCTGGCTATAGCTGGGAAATTGCCAGGTAGAAGAAGAAGACTATAAATGAGTGTGAAGGTAGATGTAGAAAATAATTGTCGGTAATATATAGAGAGGGCGCTTTTGTTGTTAAATGGTTAGTCGTCTCATTTGTTTACTAATTAAAGCTACAGAGATTATTTCTGTTTTTATCTTTATTTAGGAAGCTACAAATGTATCAATATGTAATATGAAGCTATGTTATATTAAGCAGACAATAAGAGAATAGTTATACTAACAACTAAGCAGTATATATGTATAATGAATCCTCTGCAACAGGAGAGTACTGTCGCATGAAATACAGGTTTATACCTAGCTCAGGGACAGTAGATTTTAATTACATATAATACCTTTTACCTTTATACATTGTGATCAGATTATGTTAATGTCTATACAATTGTAATCTTTTTAAGATAAATAAACATTATTATTATTATTATATACCCTGGCTGTTTTCTCCTTAGTGATAGCGGTGACATCAGTCCATCGTAGCATGAGCACTTTCTCCCAACCGAAGATGTTCGCGTGGAAACACAGGTGACGCTGAGAGGCGTATAGACGACCGTGAACTAGGATGTCGCACTGGAGCGCGCACGAGTAATCTGATGATGAAGATATAATTAACAATTAGCAACTACCCTCAAAAATAATTACATAAATTTGCCGTTTTATATTTTGTGAATGATAATGAAAGTCAATTGAGTATAGATATATGTATTGTAATATAATTTACAATATTTAATTGTTATGACGGCATTACAGTTCGATGGTAGAATGGCGACTCCGCGACAGAACATATAATAATGTATCAAATTGACAATGTAGCATATCGAATATCGACTTGCTTCTAGGTGGCATTATGGACAGTGATTTTTGCTTACATTAATAAAAGATAATACGTAGGCACATACATATTTTTTTCTTAAGTAAAATCTTATGAGAAGTTTCTAAGCGTCACATCTAACAGTTATTAACCCCTGATGTGTGTAAGTCACGTACCCACTATAAGTCTCTCATCATCGGGCAGATCCTTAAACAGTCTCTTGAAGTCGTCACACTTGCTCTTGTACGTGGGGTACAGCGAGTTGTACCAGCTCTTCTTTTTAGACCTCACTTGGTCACCCCTGGAGCTCGGAGAGGCCGCCTGGAGGGAAAACACTGTTTTTTATTATACATCCATGGTTATATCAACTTGGTCCAATGGAGAATCGTGTATAAAATACCATAATAACACATTAACATACTTTTTATCCTATTTTTTCTATATTTTTGGCAACGTAACTCCCCCTACTATTCAGTCCATCCATACCCTACCACCCACAGTAAGCGTCTGCCAAAACTTTACATTTCATGTTATGTAAGTGGGACGCCGTATACATTATAAGTTGTTTGTCAAATATTAAACAGTGTGATTTGTTCTAGAGCGCTATACTGTTGCGGGTACATAAACGTGATACCCAAATAAATTATTTAAAATGTGACCAATGAGATGTATAAGTTTATAATATCCATCATTTCATATACACTCGTTAGTGCCTATACCTGAGTATTCTGGTAGGGACGCTCAGTCTATGTTAGTTGATTAAAACATCGAGTATTTTTTAATTGCTTTTTTGTAGGATCCTTTTCGGGGTAATATTTTTTCTAACTAGTGTTAGTTAAGTGACAAACATTTTCAATACGTCTTCTCTTGACCATATTCTTGTATCGTAAGCTCTGCTTAAAATCAAATATATTTGTCATAATAGCCATGTGTTATGATTTGTATACTAAATACAAATTTTTTAACATACATATAAAATGATTTATAATATTTGAATATAAAATTTAGCAAGTCACAAATTATATGACAATATCATATTTAATGAGAACGAGCCGGTCTGTTGTATCAATTTTTCATTTATGTATATAGACTGGTTTTCGAAGTCTCAGTGTGTTACAACACATCAGTTAGAGACTATGTACGAGTATGTGCTAGTCTCAGCTCGTCACAGACTCACCTTAACATCTTTAATGAGTAGACTGGCTGCGTCTAGACCGAGCGGTACGTCACCAGCCACGGACGGCACCTGGGACGTGTCGCTCACGTCACTCTTCTGGAAATTATATTCATAATTATTATTTTGTGTTGCCTAGAAGTTAAAGGCCCTACTTTCGTGCATGAGGGCGAAGGTACGAAACCTGGCAAGAACCAATGTGATTTTTCAGAGTCAGAGATGAAGGAAAACATCGAGAAGAAACCTAGACTTATAATTTCAAATTGTAAGTTTGAAATCATCAACTCTTCTCTAGCAAGCGTGGTGATTAATGCTTAAATCTTCTCCATGTGAGAAAAGGTCTTTGCTCAGTAGTGGGCTCTGATAGGCTGATGATCAATATTTATGTTTCTTATTAAAACTAAAGCGACGTTTAGTAAATACGATTAATTGATCGTAGAAGGTCATTTAAATCAATTTAAAATGTTCGGTTCAGTGACTGGAGGCAGATCTAAATTTAATTAGTAAAGCGTCTGAGATACGAAATACAGGTCATGAATAACGGTTTTGCAAAATGGATTTCAATTCTATATTGTTTGTATTGAAGTTCAAATTTAAAACATTTCTATTTATGTTACTTGGCTACATAAGGATTATAAGAAAGTAGAGTACAATGAAAAATTTGGGTGAAGTCAAATTTCATCTGCAATGGATCTGGACAGTTTTCTTTGTTAATTAATTAAAACTTCAATATCTTTTCTATTCACTGTCTACCATCTTGTGGTAGTGACGTTACTGATTTGTCAGGAACTTTACGCACACGAGATATTTGAGGATAGATGAATCTCCAGATAATCACGTGAGAACGTTTTTTTTAAACATTATGAGTAAATTATTTTACACTAATCAAAAAATGAAGGATTTAAAAAGAAATTAAATTATGAAGCGAACGTTTAATTTTTGATAAAATTAATTGTGTTAGAGTAAAATTTAAATAAATTTAAAGTTTTTTGACCTCGTGAAAAAAATGTTCATGTAACTCTTCTCGCACAATCTTATTGATATCATGAACGAAAATTTTATGAAATTTTTTCTATTTTATTTTTGTTTTATATTACGAGCATATCTAATATTCTCTAATTATATACTTCTTTCAATTGATGGTTTGACGCAAACAAGGTATATTGTACGGAACCTACATGAGGTAGACACGTTCAATAATAAAATAATAATGGATTTAAGAATGAAAAGTAATAAAGTATTTAATAATATTTAAAATGTGAATTTTATTATTTTGTATTAGTTTTCTAAATACATATATTAAAAATAATTTACATGTTTGACATTTCATTATTTTTATTGTTTGTCGTGATATTGTCGGATTTATCTTAGGATATTTTATATCTTGTGTGTCAGGAACACGTCGCTCTGAACAACTGAATCATGTAACCGTCACGGTGGTCGTTGGTTCTACCTATCTATGATCTATGTCTATATATACTATGTACTAGCTTTCAACCCGCAGCTTCGCTCGCGTGGAGTTCAGTTATATCGCGTTTCCAAGAGAACCTTTGAAAAGTCTGGGATAAAAACTATCCTATGTTCTTTCTCAAGGTCAACTCTATGTCTGTACCAAATTTCATTCAAATCAGTTCAGTGGTTTAGGCGTGAAAGCGTAACAGACAGACAGAGTTACTTTCGTATTTATAATATTAGTAGGGAGTAGGGATATATGATATATATCTCTTATTCCATTACTCACTCTGTCATTGTCCACAAAGTCCAGAGAGCTCTCCGCGTGCCGCAGGGACGGGGACGGTGAGCGGGACACATTCCTGTAACAAAAACAAACATATACAAATAACCAAACAGATTTCATGACTCATATTCTATACTATACAGGGAACATACTCCACAAACATGACGTTTGTTCAAGTGTTCCCTGAATATCTGATAGTGGAACTTATAATCAATATGCTTATAACAAGTTTCGTTACAATTCATACAAAGCGTTGTCTGTTTGTCATTGTATAAATAATCTAAGTCAATATATAATGGATGAAGATTTCACCATCATCATCAGCCTATCAGAGCCCACTGCTAAGCAAAAGCCTCTTCTCACATGGAGAAGATTAATGTATGAAAAACTTTTAACGCTCCGTAAGTAGTATGTTAATGCTAACTTGTGGTAAGTATACTGATATGACTATGGGAAAAGGGGGTTGAAGTGGCAACAGACATTATTAATAACAATTCTATGTACTTAAAATATATCAATATGTGCCTAATGATTATAAACATGAGGATATTAATTCATGTAAAATCACAATATACAAGTATGAATAGACAGTATAGACAATAAGAATAAAAACTTCACTCTTTGTTAAATCTAAATAAAAACGTACTTTAGAATATTTTAACTATTCCTAACTGAGGTTTCTTTTCAGCAACTGTGACCTTGGGAAGAGGCGAAAGTGGGTCAACATTTATTTATAAAGCAAAACTATACTATATATTTTATTCTATGATATATTTTATTATAATTTGTAAAAGATTAAGTGTCATAGTAGTACACGCAGCGTGTAGGAAGCCATAGATGAACATACATAGTAAGTCTTAATGAATAGTTTAAATAGTTCAGATACCTTTGTGTTGTTAAAACTATATATGGTGTGTTATGAAAATGAAAATGAACATCGCCGGGGCACCATGGTTGTATGGATAAAACATCCTATAACGAGTGACGCCGCTGACTCCGCGGAACGAACACCAAGCCGTGTGAACCAGAAGATTCCTGATACCACACAAGCTATGGAATGGTATTACTATCCTAACATCGGGTCAATCATGTAGTCTTAGGTGTAGGTTATAAGTTTTAGTATGTAATTCTCATTATAATATACATATAAGTATGTTTCGTAGTTGTCCTGGAACCTCCGTTTGCCACCCTATATGTTTGGATGGTAAATATTTGTAACTAATATTATGAGAAACGGGAAACGCTGAGTATAGTGAGACAGTACGTATAGTCGTGGTAGACGTGCTGTTGAGTGTCTGTTTTAATCTTATTGCTATGTTTACAATATGTTACATACAACTATTATACAAGTGAAAACTATTACACGCTCGTGTTACACCTTTATATGTAGAATTAAAAAATCTTTAGACAATAAAACATTTGAAACTTAATATATTAATTAATTATTAACAAAATTTTATATTTTGCTTACACAGAATCTATTGTCAAAGTTAAGTTATTTATTTCTTAGCTCTTAAATAACCAGGACATTAAACAACTGAGATGAAAAGATAATAATTTATTTCTTTACTGAGATCGTTTATTCAGGGGTTTTCAAACAAATTTTGTCTACTGCCCACTTTGAGAAAAAATATTTTTTTATCGCCCCTATTTTTTAACTATAACTTATCCTAGTTAATTGGCATAACATAACAAATCACCCCCAGGCCTCTAAACAACGCCCCCTTTTTTTTCAGGGTCTCTTACCGCCCCCTTTAGGCCATAAGTTGTCGTTATGGTCCTCTTTAGAAAAGACTGGTCTATTACATTTTAAGAGGACTTGTCAAACTATGCGATATTTCTTTATACTGAATAAAACAAAGAAATTGTCTTATAAAGACGAATATAATGAAAAATTACTTCTTGAGTATACAGTTTTTCAATAACGTTTATTTCGTAAATTTTATTAATTGGATGACTGTTGAAATATCAATTGTTTTGAATAGTTTTGTTAACGACACTAAAACGCTTACTCCATGAAAGGCCTTGTCCTCTCATTTCTTAAATAGAAAAAATAACTAAAGCATTAATTTCCATACCAAGTTTAACATACGTAAATGTACAGCATTTTTCCTTGTATATAGGATCATATATATATACAATACATACTTGATACATATACTATGTATAAAGGCATTCGAGTCACATGTCCCCAATCATCCAATTGACCTCTCAAGATTTTCCAAATTAATTTGAATAGATCTGAATCTACTTCACGATGATAAAACTCAAACACATATAAAAAAAAAATTAATTAAAGTGATTGTTTTTTACAGAATTATAAACAAAACTGAGTTTTTCCACACACAAGCACACACACACACACACATATTATTTGTTTACTTGTAAAAAATGAATACCTGTTACCGTCATTATAATATTAAGGAGATTTTTTTGTGACATTGTATTCAAAATAATCGTCTTAAAATAAAACTAAAATAATATACATAATTTATATCAATAAACGTGAATATTGGTGTTACAAAACCATAAAATGTTAAATGTTATAAGTTTATAACAACAGTAACACATGTGGAGTTCGTATGATATGAACAAATAAATATTGAAATGATGTTATCTAGAGTCAATGAAGTTAATGCTGTGATTGTTCTCCTTATTATATATATTTATTTATTTGTATATTACTTGTCAACCAGCAGATTGGAATAAAAAGGATGAAACTCAAACATAATATGTACTATTCTATTTTTCTTATAATGTAGTGTTTAAGTTTATAAAGTAATTTTGTAGGAAATTATATTTCCAATTTTATATTTTCCTAATATTCTCAATATTTTTTGACTGAAAATTTAAAAGGCTATACATACATACAAACTGTCGCGTACATAATAATATTATGATCTTGTGACTCCCTCTGGTGTTAGATCTTTGTCGACTATCCAAATTCCTTGTAAAAAAATCTTTATACACAATAATATCGTTTAAACGATTACTATATAACAATATTAATATTTAATTATATGTAGCCTACGTTCTGTTGTAAGATGTAAATAAAATTATGAAAAATGCCTTTTGGTTTCTTCCTCAATAAAAAATCATCCCAACTATAGTTTTTATTCATCTATTTCGTTATAATTCTGTATCTATAAAAGTCATTGTGTCTGACGTAAAGTAACAGCGGTACGAGTCAAGGTGAACGGACAATTACAGTTTAGGAAATATAAATAAAAAATACAATTACGAAATAACAAAAATCACGAACTGACTCATTATGATTGTGTGGAAACGATTTATTATATACATTATATACTTTACATGTTATATATAAAAGAAAGTTGTGTTAGTTACACTGTATCACTCAAGAACGGCTGTAGGTTTAAAATTGGTGGAGATAGCTTAGAACCAGGAGACGGACATAGGATATTTAATTCTCTTCGATCGAAAAGAAAAAAAAAAACTTAATAAATTCCAATATCTGATTATTTATGGAATCCAGAACAGTATAGACTTCGCACGGTCAGCTAAAAATATATTACTAATTTCGAAATTAACGCGGACGAAGTCGCGGGCAAAAACTAGTATTATATACAAATAGTTTTGTATATAGTTTTATATAAACAACATTCCGCTTATACAGGGTGACTGGTGAATTACTATCAATATTTAAGGAGAATACTCGGTACATGATTCTCATTCGAATTATGTAAAAAAATAGGCACTTAATTTTTGACAAAATTTCCGTATAAATAAGTAAAGTGTTGACACGTTCCAAGTGTTCAAGTGTGGACGCGTGCGGCGGCGTGCTGATACAACACTACGTCACGACACGCGTATGTGTGAGTGTCAGTGTATACCTAATCTGTAGGGTGTTCACACGATGCGTAATTAATTTCATAACTTTTGGTTAACTTTACTGAGAAGTTTATTAATATTTATGTTATATTAATTTTTATTTCGTCATATATGATCGTCAAATATCACGTCCTCAAATATCGATAGTAATTCACCAGTCACCCTGTATATAGATGTTGAGTCAACACAAACGCCCATAACTAGTAGAGTTAAAAATATTATTACAGATACAAAGGAATCAATCAAGAAATATGAGGAAGAAAATAGTTGTTACATTGTGAATTAGATTTTAATAAAGAATGGCTTCAAAACTATTAGACATGCACACTGTATAATATACTTAGAGGTGTGTGTCGCAGTATTAAGTGACCGTTGTTAAGGTCATTCAACTGTCAAATTTGTAATAATACAATTACGAGGCAACACTTCCTGAGTGATTCGCGGTTGATGTGTTTTAATATATATTGGTCAAAGAATATTAGAGCGGTGTATATGTGAAATAATTTTTATTGAATCCCAAAATGCCTGTATTTTTTTTTTTGATATAACCTGGATATCGCTTTTCAATAGCTTGTTAGCAGCACTTGACCAAATTTAATAGCCGTATTATACATACGATCGAGTCTTTGGTTTCTACAGACAAGAACGTGCGCAAGCATGAAGTATTGTCTTATTTTTCCAAGGAAAGCGAATTTCCTCGCTGCTGCCTTGGTCTTACAGTTAATGAACTACCAGAAGTAAAGGAAGAGGATACTTCAATACCTAATAATTGAAAGCAGTCGGTGTACTGCAAGGATGGTTTTTGAACAGTTATGGGTCTAGGGCTTAGGTGAAAGGTGTCTTCTTGTCAGAGACGAAACACCCTAGTATTTTGACGGTCTTACATTCCTCAAAATTCAGAGACTATCTGAAGTGTGACATAGATACGCTGTATCTCACACGGTCTCTATTCTAAACACCTTTGATTCCGACTGACCGTAGAACGGGCTTGTAACCACTCCACAACTATGCTATCATTTGTGTACCTAAAAGTATCTATAATGGCAGCAGTTACGGTACAGTAAAATAGAATTGGCGGAAACTTCAGACCCCTGAGGCGCATTAAGTAGATTGCAATTGGATCAGACCAGTAATCTTGGCCAGCTACTAGCAGAACACAGTTCTTCATAAAGTCAGAAATAATGGCAATACAACCCAAGGAGTATACCATAGTTAGAAAGTTCA